GGCACCACCCTCCCGCGGCGCTCACCTGCGTGCACTGCCCCTGCGAGCCGGTCCGACCCAACACCTTGGTCACCTGCGGACACAGACACGCGTGAGTGAGTGCGTGAGTGAGTTAGTAGACCACTCCCGGCCCCGGCCCCGCACCCCCCGGCCCCGCACCCGGGCGAGCTTGATGGGCTGCACGCGGCTTGTATCCATGATGGCGGCGGCCGCGGCGCGGAGAGGGAGGGCACCCCCCGCGTGCCCTTATATAGGGCCGCGCCCGGCATGCACCGCGCGCCTCTCGCCCTGCACTGCGCCGGCCTCCTGCTTCCCAGCCTGCACCGCGCTCAAGATGGCGAGCGCCACCTCCATCACCCGCTGGGTCCGCAACTTCTTGTTGGGGGTGAGCGGGGCGGCGGCGGCGGCGGCGGCGGCTTGGGGGGCGGGTCTGGGCGCGGCCCCGCCTGAGACGCTGTCCCCTTGCCTTGCAGCGGAACCTGCAGACCAAGCTCAACCTGCGCTACACGGAGATCTCCAAGAGGTGCGTCCCGCCGGGGCCGGACCGGGGGAGCAGGCGGTGTCTTCCGCCCCCTGCGACCCCCGCTCTCCAGCGCCCGCGGGCCAGAGCTGAGAGAGCCCCGTCTCGGGTTTTCTGGGCGGATGTGATGTCTGGTATCAGCCCGGCTGAGTACCAAGTTCTTGGGGTGCAGTTGCCCTGTCAGGCACCGGGAGTCTCTGCTGGTCTGAGATCTCCAAGGGACAAGAGGCGCTGAGGGCCTGGCAGGATGTCAGCGAGGATGTAAATGGTGGAAATTAGCAAGACAAGGTGACGCAGACAGGGGAGGGGGAAGAGAGCAGGGGGGAAAACTGCTAAAGGGAGACATTAGGGGACATTAGGTATGTAGGGATCAAAAGAAGAGCAAATGGGAAAGTGCTGCTCAGCAACTCAGGACAGCTAGTTACCGGTACCCAGGAGAAAACTGAACTCCTGAACAATAACTTTGCATCGGTATTTCAACAAGCCCTGGGGAAAATCACGCCAGATAGGGTACAGAATGAGCAGGATAGACATGACCGCCTTCTTACTGTTGCTGAAGAACTGGTGTGTGATCAGTTAAAAAAAAATAGACATATATAAGTGAGCAGGACCGGATGAACTCCATCTGCGGGTGCTGAAGGAGCTGGCCCGAGTCGTCACAGAACCCCTGGCGAAACTGTCCCAAAACTCGTGGTGCTCTGGAGAGGTCCCTGAGGACTGGAAGAGAGCCAGTGTTGTGTCCTTTAGAGCTGTGTGAAATTTCACCCCCAGGTTTGTTTTGACGCTATTTTGGGGTCAAAACAGCAAAATCAAAACGGAACAGATATGGTCGACACAGCCTCAAACTAAAATGAGGCAACTTGAAACGTTTTGCCGTTTTGACGCTGTTTCGACATTTCGCCCACAGGCTATAATGGGGAAGGTTAAAACAGCCTATAACGCTGTCATTTCTGGCCAGATTTGAATGAAACGTACAGGAATGGTAGCCCCTTCTGAGGGCATGCAGCGTGCCAGGTTTCAAGAAAATAGGCTTAGGGGGTTCGGAGAAACTGCACCCCAAAGTCTTGAGAGCCAAACTCATGTCACATGTATGCGTTAAGCCACAGCGGGGTCGAAACTGCAGGGATGGTAGCCCTTGCAGAGGCCACACAGCCTGACAAGTTTCAAGGAGATAGGTGCAGGGGTTTGGGGGAAACTGCACCTCAAGCTGTGGATGAGCAAAACTCGACATGGGTAACACTGTGTGTGTTAAGGCACAGCAGGGTGAAAGCTGCAGACCTGCTAGCCCCTGATGTGATGCCTGCCAGCTGTCAAGGCGATACGTGCAGTGGTGTTCTGGGGCCCGGCACCCCTAGCTGCTGATAGGCAAAACTTATGCTGAAGATGCCCCATCACTTGTCACCAAGACCTGGGGGTAATAATTGACCACAGTATGAACATGAACCAGCAGTGCGATGCTGTAGCCAGCAGGGCCAACAATATGCTGGCATGCATCAATTGATGCATCTCCAGCAAAACCATTGCAAAGAAGTGATTCTCCTGTTCTACTCAGCTCTTCTCGGCATTGGTGAGACTGCAGCTGGAGTACTGTGCCCAGTTCTGGGCTCTGCACCTTAACAAGGATGTGTTAAAGGTTGAGGGAGTCCAGAGAAGGGCTGCCCATATGATCAGAGACTTGCATGGCAAGCCATGTGAGGAAAGGCTGAGGGACCTGGGACTTTTCAGCCTGAAAAAGAGATGGCTGAGAGGGGACTTGGTAGCAGCTTACTACTACATCAGAAGCGTACATCTAGGGCTTGGTGAACAACTGTTCACCAGGGCACCCTCGGGAGAAACTAGGAGTAATGGTCGCAATCAGGACACCCTGGTTGTGAAGTAGTTTTCATAATGTTGAGCCTGAAATGAGTCTGAAATGATCTTCCAGGAGATGGTGGGCTTAGCTGTGAGATGGTTAGGTGGGCACAAAGCTGACTGTGGGGTAGGACCCAGGGAGTCCTAATGAATGGATTGGTGTCGTCTTGGCGAGAAGTGGGCAGTGGTGTCCTGCAGGGGTTGGTGCTTGGTCCAGTACTTTTCAACATCTTCATCAATGATTTGGATGTGGGGGCAAAGAGCTCACTGGCCAAGTTCACAGATGATACCAAGTTATGGCTAGATATCTAGCTTGAGACTTGGTATCATCTGATATCAGGAGGCACTACTTCACAGTCAGGGTGGCTAGGA